TCTATGCTTGACATACGCTGTCGACGGTTTCCTCACTATGTTTTCTTTCACCGTACGAGCGAGTTATATGCGCACATAGTAAAAAAATCGTTGGTGCCGGGCTCGAACCCACTAAGCAGTGGCGTAGTAAGTGCAAAATGTAATGTTAAAATAACTGAATGTGTCAGTTCACTTAGCAATACTTAAACGCTAAACGGGAGCTTATTAAACTCTACAGATGTAAAATTAAGATATCATCTATATATACTTGATTGATGAACGGAATCGTTCAAATCAACCTATGTAATTAGCCTTTTGTTACAATTGACCCTTCAATGGTAATATTATCTGTGTTAAATCGTTCGAGAGTGATTGAATGAGGTTTTTTTTCGGCTGAACGATATTGCGTCTCAATTTCATAAACAATATTTCGGATCATTAATCACCTATCGTTGTATTGGGGACGTGAGAATTACAATGCGAAACTATGTTCGTGTTTCTTTATAGAATACTAGCGGTATGAGTGCATCGGTACTGAACTATACATTATATTTTAAAGTAGTCAAAGTCAGTAAAATCTGTTTATAAAGTGTATTAAAACTTAATTTTAATTGTTTTCCATGGATAGAATAGGGGTTTTTTTTTAATTATTTTTCTTTTGTTCACTATTGCGTTCCCGTAACTATTACAATAACGTAAAATCAGCAAAGAAGTGGAACTGCCCCATTCCATGTTCCCTAGACAGGCCCTCCAATAGACCACATCTCAATTAACACTAGTTGGGATTGTGGCCATACGTCTGTCCAGTTCTGTATAAAAAGAAAAGAAAATAACACTAAAGCTAAATTAAATTTACTGCCAGTTCCTAAATCAAGGTCACAACGGACGGATAGAACTGGCGAGAACTCTCCACTCTTGGGAAGGGCCAACAATTTTATTTTACACCCTGTTCCACATAATATGGACTAAGAAATTACATGAATATATATATATGCGAGTAGCACACATATAAAACTTTATTGTTCTAAATAGCTCGACTTTTCGAATTAACTGTCAATCGCAGACAATTGCTACAATATTGCCTGTAAAAATCAAAGAAACTGACACAGTTATGTGTCTGGCCCATACATCGAACATCGTACTATCCTGCTTGCTCATTTTTTATTATCAGTTCAGTATCAGTTTCCGGGTACATATAGTCATAATATGCATTTCTCAAAACCAAATCTTATCAATTGATATCACAGAGTTTTTCTTGTGACAAATACGCTAATACTTAAGTTGATTTTGAATTATATATGTGTAACTAGTGACTGCTTTTAAGTAGCAGTATTTTAAAATCGTAGCAAAGCTTTGCACCTTAATTTATTGACCTAATATTTCGTCATTTGTATTAGCGACATCTAACGTCAAAAACTTCGCAACACTTTCAATTATTTAACCTAAGTCAAAATTGGAATCGGATCTATTGAAATTGAGAGGTAAGATTGTTCTTACCATTTTAATATGTATTGTATTTGTTGTGTATAATTAAAAATATGCATTATTATCGCAGGCGATTGTGAGCTCGTCGTTAAACTGCTTAACCGGACACTAGTCTCATAAATTTGTTTGATATTACACCGCTGTTGTGATTTGTTGAGTATTGTATAGTATACATTCTCTTTTGTTAATACTCTTAATATGAATTTGAATTATATTGTTTTTAATATTTAATAGTGCACTGTTGGCCTAGTGGCTTCACCGTGCGACTCTCATTCCTGAGTCGTAGGTTCGATCCCCGGCTGTGCTTTCTTAAAATACACTTAAAATTCGCTCGAAGGCAAGTTTGGAGGAAGGAAGGAGGAAAACTTGCCTTAGACGAAAAAAGTCGACGGTTTGTCAAGCACAGGAGGATGATCACCTACTTGCCTATTAGATCGACAATTTATCATGAAACATACAGAAATCTGAAGACCAGACCTAGAAGGTTATAGCGCCACTGGTTTATTATTTATTTTAAATATTATAACGTAATGTAATAGGAAATTTCTAGTACTTCCTTCCCCTTCCAATTTTATAAAAAGTCCTCCGGCGAAGTCTGTATATGTCCAACAGTTGCGTTACCCAGGTATCGCTATTACTGATTAGATAAATTCGTAGTTAGACTTGCTCTATTGTTAATAATACTCGTTTCGTGAAAATTAAATTCAAAATCAATTAATTAAATTACACCGACACTATAGTTTATCGAAGTGATTATAATCTAGGTTATCGATTCCAATATTTTCCGAGTGTTTACAGTCAGAGAAGCTTTTATAAATAATAAGTGTTAATAATAAATAAATCATTATAGTGTTGTCGGACAAGCGAACTTGTACTTAGTACGTTTAGCATTTTTTACACAGCCGGACTTGTGTGTATTTGTTTTGCATTTTAATTTATATTGCATTAGTTAGTTAGTTAGTTAGCAGTGCATCGTATACAAAGAATGGTTTTGTTGAAATTTGTGTTAAGTTTTTTTGCTCTTCTATTGCACGTTAAAGAGTAAGTAATGTTTTGTTTATAAAGAAGTAATTATAACTCACACTAATTGATCCATTTTAACTCACCTGTCTCTGTTCATTAGAGGGTAAACGCAATTTGCTAGAAAGAGGTGAAATAGTAGTAATATACATTTAATAGTAGTAATATTTAATTTAATAGAATAATATAATAAAAGTATTTTACGCTCCGGTGACCCGTAAACTATAGGTATATTATGCGGCAGTTTACTGTTTTCGGCCATATAATAAATAAAATCGTTAAAAGTACATATATATTACAAATTGACTTAGAACATTAAACGTTAAGCTTAGCATATATAAACACACCCATATATATAACAATTATTTATCTGACTGCAAAAAACCGAAGGAGGAGGTTCACTGTGTTTATGTTCAAGTGACGATACTCTCTGCTTAAAGAAAATATTAGTTATTTGGAATAGATTCTATTAAAAAACAAGAGCAGTGTTAGCCTAGTTGCTTTAGCGTGCGACTCTCATCCCTGAGGTCGATGGTTCGATCCCCGGCTGTGCTCTAAAGGACATTATTTCTATGTGCACACTTAACATTCCCTCGGACAGTAAAGGAAAACATCGTGAGGCAAGTCGTAGACCCAAAAAGTCGACGGCGTGTGTCAGGCGCAGATTCACAATTGATCATGAAACCGATACAGAAATATCAGGCCCAGACCTAAAAAAGATTGTAGCGCCACTCATTTGTTTTATTTTTTTTCTTTAAAAAACGAAGAAATTTAATACAGTAGTTTAACTGCATCAACGGTTATTTATAAGGATTCTAAGGTCTAGATCAGTGTTTCCCAACCTTCTTTGTGCTGTGTACCATGTTAACCTTTCTAAAATGGATAGTTTACTTAAACTCAAACTGAAAATATCTTTATTCATGTGATAATAGGGCGTAGAGCGGGCAAGAAGAACTGGCAAAAAGTTTCCGCCACTCTTTTTAATTGCTAAGTTTTGAGTCATACAAATTGTTAGAACTGAAGCAAATCAATCCCAAGGATTAGGATTTAAGTATTCGTCAAATTTATAAAAAGTTTTATTGATTAATTTTCGTTTAACAAGGGCTTTGCATTTATTTAGTGATACTTCTCTAATGTCGCTTGGGAGTTTGTTGTAAAAACGAATACAATTTCCATATAAGGAGTGGTTTATCCTCTGGAGCCTGGTTGGTTAAATTAGTTCTATTTTGCGTATTATACTTAACTTTTAATATTAAAAAATTTAATTGTTCACTTGAGAAAGTTAAATGATAGGTTTTATGAAGACTTAGTTACTAGGAAATGTTTAACGAAACACAGTAAGTAAATTTTTAAAACATAATGAAAAACTGAAATGGAAATTACAAATAATTTTGATAAATTTTCCCACCTGTAGAGCGTGGGCCCCACGTTGGAAAACACTGGTCTAGATAATCCTTCAAAACCACCCAAGTTTGGGTGTTCACAGTGGTAGTAATGACGTTTATTCATGATTTATAACGACTGCGATGTAACACTTTTGTAGCATTTGGTTTATGCAAATGAGGTTTGCGAGTGTAAATACGATGTCACCGCCAGTGACCCGGTGGAATATATTATAAACACAATTGACTTTTGAGTTTACCTAACCAGGCATTGTTCGACGTTCACGTGTCTGTCTAAAGTATTGAAAGTGGTTGTAGGTAATAATTTCGTTATATATTCGTGTTTATTTAAGATTTCTTTTCTCTAAGAACGTGCAAGATTGTTTGAGAATAGAAATCGTTGGATAACTATAGTGGACTGTTAATACTAGCGGGAATTAAATTCGGTGGCGGTTGTTTTTTAAATAAAACTCTTTTTTTGAACCTGGGTAATAACTGACTTTAATGGTTTAAAATATGAGCTTTTAACTTAACATAGAATTACGGGTTGCGATGGTAACAAAAACTAACTTGGCTTATCTAAGGGTTCACAGATCTAAATGACGGAAACGAGAATGTTAAAATACATTTTATGAGTGTGGTATAAAACTAAAGGGCTCCATATTGGCTTCAAGTGTGCGATGTTTACATTTTGTTTACGATTCTAATTATGAACTAAAATATTTATATTGTATAATTTGTACTAGATTTGTTTAATTTCCCTAGGATATAAAAGTTTTTCTAAGCAACAGTCCTCAATCTGACTTGTAAAGGCGGCTTAGGAATAATTTAATACGCAGTGGTTTTAATAGAGAGTATTCAATAATTCCTAGAGCAGTGTTGGCCTAGTGGCTTCAGCGTGCGACTCTCATCCCTGAGGTCGTAGGTTCGATCCCCGGCTGTGCACCAATGGGCTTTCTTTCTATGTGCGCATTTAACATTCGCTCGAACGGTGAAAGAAAACATCGTGAGGAAACCGACATGCCTTAGACCCAAAAGTCGACGGTGAAAAAAAATTTAATAATCTGAGGCCCAGACCTAAAGAGGTTGTAGCGCCACTTAATTTTTTCTTTATTCAATGATTCCAGAGGCAGTATGGTGGTCGTGTTAAATGGCGTGCTCGCCGATGAGTGCCCAACATCCGTGCGAGCGTTGTTAGCAGCTCACCCCGGCTACAGAGATGCTGCAGCTCAGTTGCTGGCGGCAGCAGCCCGCGTGGTCGCACCGCCAGGTCTTCTTTATGTGGGACAGAGGGAGTTGGCAGCCGTTGTACCACATGACAGTACGTATATTCTAGAGCTGCGCTTAGGCTGTTTTATTATTTAACATTTTTTGTGTTTCATCCTAAAACCAAGCATTACAGTTACGCCTTTAGCTTCTTAAGCGATTTTTTTGTATGCTAATTCCATTTAGTTCTCTCAATATCCGTAGTGCCGATATCGAAAACACTCAAAAGAGTTTTTATTCCCGCGATGTTTATTTTAAAGTTTATTGGGATCGGTATCGCTTTTAGTATTGCTATTGGAATTACAAATAATAATTAAATATTAATGCTAATTGTTAGGCTCAGATTTAAAGGTATTAAAAATATTGTTATCTATATACTAAACTAATAAATAATCGATACCAATCGTTATTTATTTTAATTATTTAAAAAAATACAAAAATTTATGTGACGGTGGTCCGAATTGTGAATCAAAACCATCCAGGGCACCACCCAAACGCATACAAAATCATTCAAATCGGTCTAGCCGTTGAAGAGGAGTTCAGCGACATACACACGTACAATAGAATATATATATATATATGTTAGCTGTCCTATCTTTTAAGTTAGATCAAACTGCGAAAATTTGATTGAAATCGGTTAAGTAGTTTAGGAGTCCACAGCGGACAAACAACAAGAAACAACCTCCTTCAAGAAAAGAGCGTACCAATTTTTAAAAGGCCGGCAACGCACTCGCGAGCCCTCTGGCATTGAGAGTGTCCATGGGCGGCGGTATCACTTAACATCAGGTGAGCCTCCTGCCCGTTTGCCCCCCGTTCTATAAAAAAAAAAAAAAAAAAAACAACGTGACGCGTAATTTATATATATTAAGATTATTGTAATGCGCCAGTTGCCCTCCTTTTTATTTAATTATGTCAAGTGTTTTTGCAACGAAGTGTTAATAAATAAATAATATTATAATACTGTAGTAAAAATTAATTAATTAATTAATCAAAGATAAGGAGAATGGTACAAAGGCAATAATGGCCTACTGCAGAGTCGGTAACGCCGTGTATGTCCTTATTAATGTTTAAAAACATTGTTGCCAGTTTCCGTCCTTGTATGACACCCGTAAGTCCGTACGCTTATGAAATACGGGAGCTACAATGTTTCATTTTGTATTGAAAATGTTTAATATACGTCTCATATATAATGTTTTTTCCCAGAAAACGTCACCATCATAGGCTCAGATGATGCAACATCATGTATTATTGTAGTCGTGAGGCATTCAGGTAAAATGTTTTTTTTATTTATTTAGGTATTTAAATAAAAAAAAAAAAAAAAAATGTTTATAATTTAAATACAATAACATATTGTTACGAGGTAGGGGATCGGATAGAAAACGCCGTAATAATAATAATATTAATCAATGGCGCTACAACCTTTTTTAGGTCTGGGCCTCAGATTTCTGTATCTGTATCATGATCATTTGGTAATCTAGGCAAGTAGGTGATCAGCCTTCTGTGCCTGACGCACGCCATTGACTTTTTGGGTCTAAGGCAAGCCGGTTTCCGCACGATGTTTTCCTTCACCGTTCGAGCGAATGTTTAATGCGCACATAGAAAAAAAGTCCATTGGTGCACAGCCGGGGATCGAACCTACGACCTCAGGGATGAAAGTCGCACGCTGAAGCCACTAGGCCAACATTGCTCTAGAAAGAAGAAAACGCCGTAAAGGAAGGAAAATCAACGAGGAATTTCGTTACACTAGAAAGCCGGGAAATACGCACAGAAATTCACTAATTACACAAACACAAAATACTAATTACTTTAATTACGCGCATTTCACACAGTACTTTATCACTTGTCTTCACTTTATTCGCACTTTATCTCTTCTGTGTTTATCTCTTGAAACCCTTCTTCGTAACAATATTATAATGTTTCAGCATAGTAATGCATTTGTTATTTATATTTTTAAACAAATGTATGAAAAAAGACACAAGGGCAAGTCCTTGGATACGTCTACATTGTTACGTTTTTGAATATTCTGAATAATTTATTCTATAAATTTCTGACGGTAAAGTTTTTAGGATGACATATTTAATAGCCGACCTTGGAAGATTTAACCTAAATTCTCCAATTCCAGGGTCTGGAGCAGTAGCATTAGCTCATTTAGATGGGTCGGGAACGGCAGAGGCATCAGCCGCTATGGTGGCCAAAGTACAGCAACTGGCTGTGGGGTATCCCGAAGGAAGGCTGGAATTGCAGCTAATTGGTGGCTTCACAGACCCTCATAGATATTCTGACGAGCTGTTTGCTAATATTATGTGTGAGTATTCCAATTTTTAGCACGAATAATATATTTTTGTAGTTTTGTTTCCAATTGTTTTTTTACCAATTGCTTAGGTGAATTAAGTCTGCGGAATTTGTATGAAACAATTTCGATAGCTGTGAAGTGAGATTTTTTACATACAATATTTGTGATTACAGTCTTTCTTATACATTACTGCACAGTGCAGTCAAAATTTTCACCAATGACAGAATTATGAATAAAAATAAAAAATATACTTGATCCGCACGTTTAAGTATTACGTAAGAAATACTTAAACTTTACTGGACGGAAAAATTAGACAAGTGAATTGCGCGCGGTAATTTCCCATTTCAGTTTTAAGGTACCTAAACGTTCTTTATTTGTAGATAGGAATCCTCGAAAGTGCATTTTGTTTTTAAGCAAAGACTATTCCATATGTGTTAATAATTACTGCTCACGCAATCAACATATAGATCCTCCACCCCTCATGTCATAAAAATATGAAAATCAAAGGTCTCTAAATACCGCTTACGTGATACTTGAACGGTGTGTAGTGACCAATTGTAGGCGAACAAAATCTTAAAGGCTATCTTACTATGCAACCCGAAACCTTTCAGAATTCAAACACAGGAACTATGAATGTGGCTCGTTGATTTTTTAATTGTTTCAAATCAAATTTTGAATTGCATTTACACATAGTAATTGAATTGTAATGTTCTTAAACGCTGTAATTGTGAGGTCATAGCTGAGGTGTGAAGTGCCAAGTGTCACAAATTATGCAGAGTGGGTGGCGTTCATTTGATCTCATTATCTTTGTACGGTTAATTTATTCAAACATGAGCTATTTAAACCACTTAAGAGAATGCTGAATCTTGTATACCTCCTTCAAAAGTATTACATTGATTGAAGGAATTGAAGATTTCTTTAAAATCGTTCCATTTAAAATCCCCTTGTTTTAAGTTGAAAAGATTAGTGAGTGCGTTATACAATAAATATAGCATATTAGCGATAGTTTCATTATCGGGCGTCGAGGCAGAATACGAAATTCCACCCGCATCATCTCTACGTCCGTCGTTCCACAACTGAGCGATTTTTAAGGCAGTTTTTGCCGCGCACCCCCGCTATGTGGAACCAACTGCCTACTGAAGTATTACCGAACCAATTCGACTTAGAAAAGAACCAATGTGTACCAATTCTTGAAAGGCCGGCAACATACTTGCGAGCCTTCTGGCAATGTGAGTGTCCATGGGCGGCTGTATCACTTAACATGAGATGAGCCTCCTGCCTGTTTGCTTCTTCTTTTTTTTAATGTAATAGGAAACGTTTTAAATCTGCATGAATGCAGTTTTTTTTAAAGTGTGGATGAAAAATTAGTAGCGCCACAAGCCGTAGTTTTGGATTCAGCCCTGCGATTCTGTAACTCACTTTTCGAATCGAATCGCAGGGCAGGTGTCTGTATAACAGATATTTGATATTATACTTTTTTTATGTTTTCTATTTTTCACTTCACATTTCATGTCACTGCGCAATTCAAGCAGGACTTTTATAAAGTACTTGGGTGTAAATAAATATTACTTGGTAGTGCTTGTACGTATATATAAATTTTTTACTATTTCTACAAATTTCATATTCCTAAGATTCATATAAGTAACGTGAAACATCTACTTTTACTATACATTTGTATTCCAGTATCATTCCACCGCTTAACCGAAGAAATCGACCTGACTCTGGCCTGCTGCTGCGAGTTGAACACGTCCCTCGGCGGAGGGTCACCTTCTCCTCTGGTAACAGGAGTCGGAGTGGATATCAGAGCTGGTGACCTCTTCCCGGCCACTTTTCCTGATAAGGGGCCAGAATTGCCCCTCCGATGTGCCAGGACCATTACAGGCGGACCCAATTCATCACAAGTAAGTGCTTTACTGAAGTAGAAGTGTGCCTCTTTAAGTATGGTTTTATCTAAAGCCATATACCCCTATAACCCATTCGGGGGAAGGAAGGTGCTGCTCTTCCTCCGACCTACAGGAAGTCGTCCAGTCTAACCACTGACTGTCCTGTCTAACCACTGACTGTCCTGTCTAGCCACTGTCTGTCCTATCGAAGATTGTATTTATACTTAGCGGTTGGAATAATTTTGATAGGGCAATTCAAGATATGGACGTCATGATGCTGATTCGTATCCGAAGATTGCAGGTGTCGCTTCGAAATATTTGACGAAATCTTTGTACTAATCGATTCTGTGTAATTTTTTGAGCATTGTTTATTTACTATTAATAATATATTTGCAGGTACTGGACATATACGACAACGGAGTGGGTATGGTCCGTATCGGTCCGTTCTCTTACGACCCTCTGAGGGGCGTGGACCTCTGGTTGGAGCAGGCCGATGACTTCATTCTGCATCACCTGAGTACCACGCCCAACGCGGAACCACCGCACTTCGTACACAATGTGAGTTGCTTTTCTGACTTTGTTTTAATTAATTAATATGGTATAGGACTGATCTATGGGCTCTCTTTGGTAAATAATACATGGTTATGGTAAATAATACTTGAGCCCCATGTGTAAAAATTGACTGTTGTTATGTACTGAAATATAGATAATATAAAAACACCTTAATGCAAACTTAATAGAAAAACTATTTATATAGAGCCTTTATTGATGACTATATATAAACACTTGTTTTAGTTACATAACCTAACTTAATCTAATACATCAGATGTGCCGGCTTTGGTGATCAGCGTGTTCTGTGTCACAAAGGCCTCTTCTAACTGCTTCCATTCTTTTGTAATCTTTCTTTTTCTTCTGCCCATCTCTTTCTCTATCTTCCTCTTTTCCTTTTTCGATCTCGTATTTTGTCCGGAAAAAACTAAACTTAGATATAAATTATTTTATAAAAAAATGGAGTCATAGTTTCGACTGTTTTCTGGATTTCAAATAATGAAATACTTTCGTCTTAATTTTCGTACAAATAAATTTATTATTCCAGATCCGCGTGACACTAAAGTTCATTCAGCAGCATCCGTTTCCAGCAGTCACAGTGTTCCCCGACAGTCGGCCTCACTACTACCGCCGTGATGAGCAGACGGGATGCTGGATGCCAGTTCGGTTTTAAATTGATTTCCGTTTTTGACATATCCGTTTAAACATTAAAAATTATAATAAAAATTATTGACACGTTTGAACAAATCTTATGATAATCTGTGGGAAGGTAACTTTTTGTTGACAACATCTTTTTGACGTACAAAGTTATATATCCTCAGTACGAACTATGTGTATATGTTTACATAATAGAATAGTAAAAATATTAGTAGTAATTCTTGTATGGAAAGCGCTCCATGGGTATATTTCGAATCAAACAGACACTAGAACCTATATCATTTTATTGAATTGTGTTCCTAGAGAAATCCATACTAAGTATTTAGTATCCTAAATCTTGTATGGATTTCTCTATATATTAAAACTCAAAAATTGTCCATATCAAATACTTTGAAATATTGTTATGATAAAATTTGTATAAAAGTGTTAATGAGAAGTAGCAATTTTGTAACGCACACACAACACACAAAAATCAGCAGATTTTATTATAGCATCACAACTTTAAGACACAACCTTTGACCATTTGAAACCCGGCTGTGCACCTATGGACTTGTCTATTTGAGCATTTAACTCACTTGTAAGGAAAACATCCTGAGAAAACCTACATGCCTTAGACCCAATAGGTCGACTGCGTGATCTGATCAGCTACTGGCCTGTTTAAAAAAAAAACGAAATAAATATGGAAATCTGATGACAAAACCTAGAGGTTGCAGCGCTTTTTGTGTTAACATTTTTTTATTATGCCCTGAACTGAGCATGATTATATTAAATCCAGTAATAATGTATAGAATAATAAAATAAAACGTGGGAGTATTTGGAACTAAAGGAAAGAACAGATATGGTTAATATTATTCCTCTATATAAAACTCATATATGACCTGTATCTATTATGTAACACGAGCTGACAGAAACTATGGAGAAATAAATGGTTAGCAACCCTTATTTACCCTAAATTTCTTTCGATTTAATAATAATATTTTGTAGCCTAATATGGCATTCCAATGTGATAAATATAGAAGCCAATAGCATTTTGTTATTTAATATTGAATTAACGGTTAGCTCTCTTAGGTTTTGTATACTTTTTATATTTAAATGTGTGTATTGATCTACTGTCGAGTAGATTTGGGTATTATAATAATTTTTATGACTACAAATGTTTCCCCACTGGAATGTTACCTTGTAAAATACATTAAACACAGTGATGTAATAATGAAACAATGTTTGTCATCAAAATCACTCAAAATAGTGGTCACTTCAAATCCACATGTTTGAATATAATCTGTGTACAAGTTTTGTTTACAGCATAGTTTAATAATTTGTATGTAAATAATACAGATGATTTTAATGTTATTAAATTATATTGTATATTTGACCTATTAAATAAGTTTTTATTTAGTTTTGATTTTATTTTAGATATTAAAAGTGTGAGTAAAAAAAACAACTTTGTTGTATATAGCGATTTTAGTTAAAATTACATTGTTTTAAAGGACAAAATAAATATATTGAAAGTACATTGAACTTGTTTTATTGTTAGTGTTGTATTTAACATTAAGATAGGTAGGTTTAGTCAACAAAAACTATAAATTGTAGTTGTTTTACCTATATTGGCTTATATCAACTTACTGCTTCTTAAACAACTTAACTGTAACTAACAAAAATAAAAATATATCACCATTTAGTTATATGTATGAAACAATAGTCGTATTCTAAAGTTAAATTTTGATTAAAAAAAATTAAAAACTATGAATATGCAACAGTATATTATGTTTTATTATTACGGTTTAATATTAACTTGCTAGATAAGTAACATTCTTAAAAAATAAAGCGTGTAGAGCGTTTTAGAGCACCATCTAGTTTACAATTGTGTAGAAACTAGAAAGTAGCCAGTGAAGAATACTTAGGAATTGTCAATTGTCACTATTGATTGTGACATTTGATTTTTGATAGTTAACTAAGAAATCAATTTTAAAAGCAAAAGTCAAAACGCGCTTTACTCCATTGAGTTGTTGACGGTTCATAACAAGTTTTTTTCCTGGAAATCGCAAATAATTTAAACTGTCTTTAAAGTGCAGTTCATTTTAATATTGGGGAATAGTGTACGATAATTGACATAATGGAGAAGCCAACAGTAACGGAACAACCACCCCCTTACTCTGCGTCTGTTCCACCAGGTAAATTATTGAAAAAGTTTGTAACTATCGGAAATAGCTATTAAATTTTCTAGATAAGAGCGTGCTTAACTGCGCAACCGATTCTTTACATTACAGTAATACTCAGATTATTTTAATATTTTGCAACACAAATAGAAACTCATCTTTACAACTACATTTATAGTGTTTTCCTTTTATTCGCTTGTATGGTTTATCCTTATTGTATAAACGTAATATGTAAAATATCTTTGAGCGAAAGTGCAATAACTATGACTGACTAATGCTAATACTCATTTCTAACTATACTGATTCCCCTTTTTTTAACACATCAAATTTCTTTGTTTACTTATTCAATATGTGGGATGTGAATGTTTTTTTCTCATTTTAATCACAAAATTTTCAGTTTAAGGATGACTAAAGATTAGGTATTGTTGTGAAATCTCTAGCCATTGATATTTAGCATCACACCTTCACTTAAATGAGAGAATCCATACTACTGACTTCATAATCCTTTGTTTTGAAACTTGATCTAAACTATGCTTCATTCTGCTCTACTTAGCTCTTAGGTTTAGGTTACATTCATACCGGGATACATTCAAAGATTAAGAAATCTTTATTTAAGGTGTCTTTACATACTTTAGTAAATATATTTTAGTGTCACCTTTATTACTGCTTAGGAACAACAGAAGTTATTAACTCTTTGAGCATCCTAATAAAAGATAATTGTTAACTAAAACCAAATGTTTTGTTTTATTATTGAGTTTATCTCATCAAAAAATATTGACTGATATTGTTAACACTTAACAAAATAAACATACGTCTCTAATTATGTTTAGACTTAATATTATACAGCATCTAATTAATCTTTAATCTATGCAGAAGGCTATTGTTAAATGAGCTGTTTATATTGCACACATAACAATTGTTTTTCATTACTTATTTACTCACTAATTATTCAAATTTGATATCAATGCCGAGTTGTTTTTTAAAAAACATTAAATAATGAATGTTGTAGGTGTCTGAATGAATGTTATACCATTTATATTGTCATTGTTTAAAAATAAACCATTGAACTGAATCAAAGTGATAACAATTGATGGTTGACGATGTATACTAGTTGACATGATTAAAACAAGTTGTTTTAACACACATTTATAACAGTTTGAATTTGAATCATACTTTATTCACATACTGGACTTAACATTTTTATGCGGTGTTTATCAGTAGAGAACTAATAAATATGAGTAAGAAAGGCACTTGTATTTATAGAATTCATAAGTAATTCCCAGCTGGTGGTCATGTTAGGATAGTCCCTAATGTCAGCTCTCGATAGAAAGTCATTCAATGGCCTAGTTAGTGAATATTCCTTAATTTCTTGTTATTGTTTAAAATTTGGGGTGTCCTCTATTCATTTTATAGTTCATAGGTAATTCTCCGCCAGTATAGTCCTGGTGAGAAATTCCCTACTTTATCCAATTTTAAAATCAACATTATTTAGAACATGCATAATAAACGTAAAGCATACAATATTGGTTAGAGATACACAACATCAAATTAATATCTCTTGATTGATTTTTGTAAATATTTAAGTTACTGTGACGAATTTGAAAAGATCGAATAAAAGAAAACATTTTACGTAAAACTAATTTGAAAAAATGCCTTTAAAAAGCACTTGTTTAAAACAATTTGTATATTTTGTTTGTTAAAATAAGAAAAACATTTTTTTCCAACCCTGAAGCTGCAATTTATTTAATAATTATTTTAATATTAGCTTGGTAATATACTAAGAGAAGCTGTTAAATTAGTAGTTATTCTTTATGTATATAGCTGTATCATCTATGTACTAAACATACACAATTTAAATAACCAGGCACCTATATGATAGTTAATTGCCGAATACTAATAAATAATTGTGCAATTTCAGGTCAGCCAAGTGGGCCATACCCTCAACCGTCGCCGCAACCTGCATTCCAAAGTCCTTATCCACCACCACCACCTGGATACACACCATATAATGCTCCATCTAACCAGCCATACCTACCAAACTATGGAGCAACAAACATTATCATACCACCTGCTATCATAGCTGTTGGAGCCTGTCCCGCTTGCCGAGTTGGAATCTTAGAAGACGACTTCACTTGCCTTGGTATACTCTGTGCAATTTTGTTTTTCCCTCTTGGAATTTTGTGCTGCCTTGCACTTAAGAATAGAAGATGTTCCAACTGTGGGGCCATGTTTGGGTAGAATGTTCATATATTAGCATGTATACTGCATTAGAAAGGAAGATTATATTGGTGAAACAAATCAAATGTTACAATCCTTGTACATTCGTGGAATAAAAAGGTCATGTCATTGCATGAACAAATTACGTCCATTTAAAACAAGACTATATGTTGAATTTTTAGCATATCTGTAATTTTGTGATTGTTTAGAGAAACATTCTGTTTTCTAAAACAGTAATTTAATAAGTAACAAATATGGAAAAAACTGTTTGTTTGTCCAGTTAACTGCAGTAAATTTGAAATCGGGTTATTTAAGAACTTTATAAAATCTTATGTCATAATAAGAAACTTTTTAGTAGAATTTGAGTGCATAATATTTGACGTAACAAGTGCCTGTATAACTATTTTTTTGTTTAACATACTTTGATAGAAATCAAAACTTAATATACAATACAGACTAGGTATGAAAAATATTTTCATAAAATAGATGAAAAACCTTATTGACATGACTCAATATTGGCTCTTTCTAAAATTTACAATAAGTATCACTTTATAATATCAATGATATCTTCTCAAAGATTTTTGTATCAATGGGCGTGTTTGGCCGAAGTAAGTACTTACTAAATTTAGTAAGTCACTTACTATGCTTACAAAATTTTCGGCCGGGACACAAAATAAGTGCTAACGCAGTAAGTATGGCTTAATATACGACGCCATTTTGCTTATTGTTGATGTAAACAAAACGGACAATAAAATATGCCAATAAAAATATTTCTCATAAAATTTGGACCTCCATTTGAAACTTTTCACAGGTATTAAATCTATCATCCTAAATTTAAAGTACTGCTCAATTATATTCAGTCTATGAGGTTATGTACGGGATATGAGATAAACCGGTATTTTGTGTTATGTTACATAAGCCATTGTAAGTCTGTCCTGTGCCGAACAAGCCAAGGCAACATGTCAGCTTGTAAGACTTATAATTTTTTTATGCATATACTGGTCTTACTACACGTTTAGAAAGACCTACGGTTACTTCGGCCAAATGTCACGCCCATTGATTTATTTGGCTTATCAGACACATTGCAGTTCTATTTTAAATTATAAAAAGAAAGTAATTTAATTGTTTCTGAATAAATTATCAAGAAATTACAAAATTCTATATGCCTCTATAGATACATAATACTATAAACACGATTATAGTAGCTATTTAATATATAGCTATACAAAAAAATTTGGCAACTCTTAATTTTGAGTTAAGAAAAATACATCCTGATAACTTTTGAACCTCCTAAGTTCGAATCCTTTTCTAACAAAATAATACTTATATGTATAGCAAAACAATGAATATTAAATAGCACTAAAGACTAATTTCCTATACTATTTCTTAGACCTGTCAAGTTGCCTGTAAAGATAAATATGTCCATTTGGCAGTTATGGGACACATACTATTTTTGTTATTGTAAGGTGGAACAAACCAAACAACATGACTGCTGTGGGTGAAATTTAACTTATGACATATCATTGGATGTTGACAGATTCTGTTATAAGTGTCTCTGCTGACTTCTCTAGCAGAAAAATAGTTTCAAAGTTATTTTTACATAAACAGCAGTCATGTAGTTTAGTCTATTATCTATAGTTTTTACATTTAAGTATGTAGAATTTAGAATAGGATTTATACAAGCAATAATACAGTGCAAGTATGAGTTATGTTTTAAATACCTGTTTTTTATATATTTCTCTTATTCATAAATAAACAGTAACAACAATACATCATAAATTAACATATACAACTAAATACTTGAAACATGCAAGCTGAATGATTTAGAAACTAGAAAATGGTCAATTACCAGTAAAGCAATTCATAGGAAATAATTGTAATTATAAAGTTCTCTTAGAATATAATTCATACTTGCACTATAGATTAGATATAAAACTATGATGCCTTATATCATTAATATATCTTCCATTACAATATGATTGGTTAAATTTGATTTAAATCTTATTTACATTAATGTATGTTACATTATCACTGTAATATGTGCCAATATGTTAAAGTTTTTTTCTTATCGTGGTTTCTATATACAAAGTACTATTCGTAACAATGCGAATATATAATATAATCTATATAAAGTAAATATTAAATACTACTCATTATGTTTTCATTTTTAATCTAAAAAAAGTAATACAATTTTGTATGGGAATTTTTAGTAGCGCATCGTGGGCGTATTTGGAACTAAAAATGCCCGATCATATGACGTTGGCGTTCTACTAGTATTCATAAATTATAGCAATTAGAAAACGCAGCGCTGCCAATAACATTTGTATAAGATACATGAAGACACTATCAAATTTGTGTTAAGTTTTTTTGTATGAACCCGAGTGTAAGATATATTTAATCTATAAAGATCTTTTTATTAGATATTTTGTTAAAATCTCTTAGTTTTCATTACTTTCTGTCATAATATTTGAGAACATCACGATTTTACAAATTTTTTGTTAGTTATTCAAATAAATGTATATTTCTTATTTTTAAGCATTACTGTCTGTTATGAAAGCAATATGTTTTTACAATTGGAAATTTCTACGTTAAAATTTGTACTGTGATTGTACCAAAATATAAAATGGTTAAAAATACAATTGTTTTATTTACATATTATTATTGAATTCATATAGATAAATATAATAAATAAGAGGGCATAACAGTTTATTTAGATTTTGCAAAACAGTATAAAATTTTCATATTATGTTCGTTTTTTAACTTCAATACTAGCTTTAATCTATCTTAGAATGTCTTTTATGAATATTCAAGAATCATATTGTCAAAAAATTAAAGATTATTTTAAGCCCTCAAAGATCTTTAGAACACTTTATTTATAGTACTAAGCTGGTTACTTAAGAATCCTTCATTTACATAGATAAACCTATTAATCTAAGTAGCTATCCTCGACAGTAAATTATATTTATACCGATACTATATGGTTAATTATGGGTAGTTTGATTATGAGCGACAATCCCGATAATCGTGCAATTCAATCGGGGTTTTCAATAAAAAGGATTACAGTTCAAAAGGTTATAGGAAACTGTTTGAAGCACACCGAAGCGTTGACGTGGCGTTTACCCACTCTAATGTCTTACTCAAATATTGAATTAGGTTATTAAAAGATAATAATCTTACAATGGCTGGTGCTAGTGCGATTACGAGAGATATACGTGTGGGCATGGGAACACATTTAAATGAATTATGTCTCAAGAATTTTTCAACCATTATTATTAAGTTAATAATCGGGACAAGGGCAATATGAATATATATTCATCTCGAGACTTATGTTTATATCTTATCTTACATTTATACTTTTGGTGTTCCACGATTTCCTTCTTTTACTTATCTAATTAGTTCGTTAACTTCAACTTTTAGGTATAAAAAGGACAAGTTTATACAACCGTAGTGTAATGAGAGATTATCAAATAAGTGTTTCTGTTAACTATAGACCGTAGACGAGATGTTTATTAGCACAAGCAACACACTATTTTATCTAAGCTCATTAATGGGGATTGGACCTAATTAGTAAAGGTCAATGTGATAAACGTATGTCGCCAAAGCTGACACAGCGGAGCCACAGATCAGTTAAAATTGGACTAATGAATGGCGCCGGGCGCCGCATAGAAAAAATATTAATGACAACTCCTTCGTGGATGCGACTTTTATTTTGTATTAAGTTTAAATTTGGCATTGATGTTACAGAGAAAACATTATTTAGTTGAATCCTGATATTCTGTCTATTGTACAATTAAATTACTTACATCATCATAAAATTATCTTGACGAATCCACTTAATTAAAATATTACAATACGAGAAAGGATAGCTTGATAAAAACATTTTAGTGCAAAGTTTTGATTTCATATATTTTCCCCTTAAATGTTCCTATTTATCAACAAAACTTTTTAATCGTAAAAAAGTTTCATATTTACGCTGAATTATCTCATTAGACCAGCTCGTCACCTGGGTCAAAACTCAAAACTCAACTTCAAATTATAATTAGAATAAGGCTTCCCCCGGGAGTCGTCACGAAAAATATCACGAATGAATGGACACGTTCACATTAAATTTTCACTTCTTCGTTGCTCTATAATTGCTTTTGGAAAGGAATTTACTTTTGTGCATGACGTACTGAAGTTGGTGAATTTATAATTGAAAACCAGATTTAAATTAGAAAACCTGCCAAATTATGCGAGTTATTCTAGATGGGTTTATGCTCAAGTTACTTTATATTATTTGGGGTAGTCATTTAAAGTCAATGATCATATAAAAGGTATGTTGATATGATATTCTATATGACTATCACAGCAACATGCCTTGTACTATACACTAACAGATTAAACCTCTTCGTTTAAAAGTGCAATATTAAAGTAAGTTAATTATGAAATGTTAATTAAACAGATATATGACAAATAAATTATAATAAACATATATCTAATGAATCATATACTGTAACACTCGTAAGGGTAAGACAAATTTGCGTCTTCATATTTGATCATTTTTCTTTGTAAGCAGCGTATTTTTGACATAGATTAATTTAGTTATTAGTAAGATTCACAGGGATAATATTGTATATAATAAGTATTGACTCCGAATCTTACTATAAGACATGCTTTCCGTTCACGTAATAATCGAGTAATAATTAAACAAATTATTTACTAATAAATATTAATATTAGTTGCGCCCGAGGTCAGATTGCGGTAGGTATGCATGCATCATTAGGCTAACACAGCGCAGGCAAGCAAAATGTCGACCCAGTCATTATAAATTGTAGTTTCATTTGGTTACAAAGTTTAAAAACAATTGTTGAATAGCACTAAGTATATACGTACCATACATCAATATAAATGCCTCTACCTATTTAAGCAAGGCAAGTTCTTTTTACCGACTTTAGAGAAGTTTCTAGACGTGTTTGTTTTTTACCACTTTAGAATATTTTATGTTAGGTATATGTATGACCGCATTCGTAGCTTAGTTGTAA